ATTTCTAAGTGTTTCTAGGGTCGTAATCGTGCTATCTTGAGCTTGCGATTATATATTGAATTTCGGGCGAGTTGTCTCCTCATGGGAGTTGCCTCGCAACGGGTTGTAGGATTGAGCGAGTGCACTCCTCGTGGGAGTTATCTCGCTGTAGTTTTGAGACTAGAGAGGGTTAGCTCCTCGTGGGAGTTGTCTCACAACGGGCTATAGGACGGAGCGAATGGTCTCCTCGTGGGAGTTATCTCATTGTGGTTTTGAGACCAGAGAGGGTTAGCTCCTCGTGGGAGTTGTCCCACAACGGGCTATAGGACGGAGCGAATGGTCTCCTCGTGGGAGTTATCTCGCTGTGGTTTTGAGACCCGAGGGAGTTGGCTCCTCATGGGAGTTGCCTCGCAACGGGTTATAGGACGGAGCGAGTAGTCTCCTCGTGGGAGTTATCTCGCTATGGTTTCGTAGACCTGAGGGAGTTGGCTCCTCGTAGGAGTGGTCTTGAGCAAAGTTGTAGGAGCATTGGATGATGCGCGATTTAGGCGCGTGTGGATTGAGGTTGCTCTGAGCGAGTTGTCTCCTCGTGGGAGTTGTTTCGCAGCGAGTCTTATTATCGAGCGAGGTGGTTGCACGTGGGAGTTGCCTTGCAACGGATTTGTAATATCGAGCGAGTTGGCTCCTCGTGGGAGTTGTCCCGCTGCGGGTTGGGGTACCGAGCGAGTTGTCTCCTCGTGGGAGTTATCTCGCTGTAGGTTGTAGTACCGAGTGACTTGGCTCCTCGTGGGAGTAATCTCGCTGCGGGTCATAGGATGGAGCGAGTGGTCTCCTAGTAGGAGTTATCTCGCTGTGGGTTCGTAGGACCGAGCGAGTTGGCTCTTCGTGGGAGTTTCCTCGCTGCGGGTCGTAGCATGGAGCGAGTGGTATCCTCGTAGGAGTTATCTCGCTGTGGGTTCGTAGGACCGAACGAGTTGGCTCCTCGTGGGAGTTTCCTCGCTGCGGGTCGTAGGATGGAGCGAGTGGTATCCTCGTAGGAGTTATCTCGCTATGGGTTCGTGGATCCGAGGGAGTTGACTCCTCGTGGGAGTTGCCTCGCAACGGGTTATATGACTGAGCAAGTTATCTCCTCGTGGGAGTTGTCTTGTTGCCGGTTGTAGTACCGAGCGAGTTGGATCCTCGTGGGAGTAATCTCGCTGCGGGGCATAGGATGGAGCGAGTGGTATCCTCGTGGGAGTAATCTCGCTGCGGGGCATAGGATGGAGCGAGTGGTATCCTCGTGGGAGTTATCTCGCTGTGGTTTTGAGACCCGAGGGGGTTGGCTCCTCGTGGGAGTTTCCTTGTAAGGGGTTGTAGGACCGAGCGAGTTTTGCTCCTCGTGGGAGTTGTCTCGCGGTGGGTTGTATTACTGCGCGAGTTGGCTCCTCGTGGGAGTTGTCTCGCATGGGAGTTGTAGGAGCATCGGATGGCGCGCGACTGAGGAGCGCGCAGACTGAGGTCGCTCTGAGCGAATTGTCTCCTCGTGGGAGTTATCATCAAGCTGACTGCCTCGTAAAACCCGAAGATCACCTTTCTTTTTCTTTTT